TCCGGTGGCCTTATCAAAGTGCCAGTTGAGGGCCCACTGTTCTGCATTTTGGGAGGGAGCGTACGGGTTGGAAAGGGGGTGCATAGAAATCAAGTGGCTGGGTGAGAGTCAGGGTGAGGAACACCGCACGGTTATTTGTAGCTGCCACCTGGCATATGGGCAGGGGGATATGGTGTGTTCGAGTTGCACATACCATCTCTGTACTCGGCCAGGAGATCCTCGTGGTTGAACCACTTCTTTGGGTGTAGCTCAGTGGGCAGGGTATCCACGAGATGGGCGTAATCGGAGAGGCCCATGCCGGCGTACGTTGCTGGCCTGAGGGTGCTGTTGATTGTTGACCTGGTTGACGACATCTGGTGGTTGAAGACACCCATGGTTGACTTGTCGTTGTGCAACCACAGCAGCTTCATTGACTCGAGCCCTTCGGCAGACAAGTGGACAGCGAATGCCTGGAACACTTCCTCCGGTGCAGGGTAGTACTGGATTTTTTCCGGGGGGTTCAGAAACAGGAGCTGAGAGCACACTAAGTAGGCCTTGTTCTGCGCAGGGGTGTGGGGTTTACAACACAACATGGGGAGAGAGAAACCATCAGTTATGACTGTGGCCGCGTGACCACAAGATGGACTGTGTGAACTTTCCACGTCACACCCTCCTCCATCCGCCACATCCACCAGCAACCAGCCCCACTTGCCACGTCACATCCACCCACCCCATGCCACGTCACCCCCTACCCACCTGATACGCGTCACCTCGTCACGCGCTGCTCCCGTGTAACCTTCCAAGCCAACACGTCAGCCCCAAGCCTCACATCCCGCCACGTCACACCCTCCTCCATCTGCCACGTCAGGGAACAACCAGCCCCACGTGCCACGTCACACCCACCCACCCCATGCCACATCACCCCCCACCCACCTGACACGCGTCACCTCGTCACGCGCCGCTCGCGTGTACCCGTCCAAGCCGCCACGTCAGCCCCAAGCCTCACATCCCGCCACGTCACACCCTCCTCCATCCGCCACGTCAGGGAACAACCAGCCCCATGTGCCACGTCACACCCACCCACCCCATGCCACGTCACCCCCCACCCACCTGACACGCGTCACCTCGTCACGCGCCGCTCGCGTGTACCCGTCCAAGCCGCCACGTCAGCCCCAAGCCTCACATCCCGCCACGTCACACCCTCCTCCATCCGCCACGTCAGGGAACAACCAGCCCCACGTGCCACGTCACACCCACCCACCCCATGCCACGTCACCCCCCACCCACCTGACACGCATCACCTCGTCACGCGTCGCTCCCGTGTACCCGTCCAAGCCGCCATGTCAGCCCCAAGCCTCACATCCCGCCACGTCACACCCTCCTCCATCCGCCACGTCAGGGAACAACCAGCCCCATGTGCCACGTCACACCCACCCACCCCATGCCACGTCACCCCCCACCCACCTGACACGCGTCACCTCGTCACGCGCCGCTCGCGTGTACCCGTCCAAGCCGCCACGTCCGCCCCAAGCCTCACATCCCGCCACGTCACACCCTCCTCCATCCGCCACGTCAGGGAACAACCAGCCCCACGTGCCACGTCACACCCACCCACCCCATGCCACGTCACCCCCCACCCACCTGACACGCGTCACCTCGTCACGCGCTGCTCGCGTGTACCCGTCCAAGCCGCCACGTCAGCCCCAAGCCTCACATCCCGCCACGTCACACCCTCCTCCATCCGCCACGTCAGGGAACAACCAGCCCCACGTGCCACGTCACACCCACCCACCCCATGCCACGTCACCCCCCACCCACCTGACACGCGTCACCTCGTCACGCGCCGCTCCCGTGTACCCGTCCAAGCCGCCATGTCAGCCCCAAGCCTCACATCCCGCCACGTCACACCCTCCTCCATCCGCCACGTCAGGGAACAACCAGCCCCATGTGCCACGTCACACCCACCCACCCCATGCCACGTCACCCCCCACCCACCTGACACGCGTCACCTCGTCACGCGCCGCTCCCGTGTACCCGTCCAAGCCGCCACGTGCGCCCCAAGCCTCACATCCCGCCACGTCACACCCTCCTCCATCCGCCACGTCAGGGAACAACCAGCCCCACGTGCCACGTCACACCCACCCACCCCATGCCACGTCACCCCCCACCCACCTGACACGCGTCACCTCGTCACGCGCTGCTCGCGTGTACCCGTCCAAGCCGCCACGTCAGCCCCAAGCCTCACATCCCGCCACGTCACACCCTCCTCCATCCGCCACGTCAGGGAACAACCAGCCCCACGTGCCACGTCACACCCACCCACCCCATGCCACGTCACCCCCCACCCACCTGACACGCGTCACCTCGTCACGCGCCGCTCGCGTGTACCCGTCTAAGCCGCCATGTCAGCCCCAAGCCTCACATCCCGCCACGTCACACCCTCCTCCACCGCCACGTTAGGGAACAACCAGCCCCACGTGCCACATCACACCCACCCACCCACCCCATGCCACGTCACCCCACCCACCTAACACGCGTCACCTCGTCACGGGCCGCTCCCGTGTACCCGTCCAAGCCGCCACGTCAGCCCCAAGCCTCACATCCCGCCACGTCACACCCTCCTCCATCCGCCACGCCAGGGAACAACCAGCCCCACGTGCCACATAACACCCACCCACCCACCCCATGCCACGTCACCCCATCCACTTGACACGAGTCACCTCATCACGCGCCGCTCCCGTGTACCCTTCCAAGCCCCCACGTCAGCCCCAACCCGCCCCATTTGGCCCGCCACATACCGGGAATGGGTTTGTCTCCTGCAACACTAGCACTCGTGCCTTGTCCACGGCACTCATCGGCGGCGGGGTACCAGCCATAGGCGCGGCTGCAAAACCCCCGGCATAACTGGCAGGTACTCCACGACGCAGGCCGAGCTATGCAAACATGGCGTACATCTCAGACCGCAGCGCCTGTAACTCCTCCCGTGTAACAAACTGCTCGTGCTCCGCACTTTCACCTGGGCACCCATGAGCGGTGGAAAAGGGTGTGAAGAATCCCCCCTCTGGCCAAGGGTTTCAGCATCTTCTTCAGCAGTCCCATGTGCCCTCACACTATCATGCTGGCGGGAAAAGGGGAGCTTAGGGAAGGGATTGGCAGAAGTGCTTGGCTGATGCCTGCGCGAAGGACCAGCGAGGGGGGGGGTGTGAAAATTTAGAAGAGAGAAGAGGGTTGCACTAGCAAGAATGAGGATACAAATAGCAAACCCTAGAAGGGTTGTACTCGCTATAGAGCACCCCACTACAGGCTAGAGCATAATATTCTGACACACCCCCATAGCCAAAGTGGGGTGTAATCAGCAGAGCAAGCAAAGCAGTACAAGCTCAGGGTGGATCACAATGTCACCACACATTCTGAGCACAAGTTCAAGAAGCAATAGTTTAAAGTTCACAATTATGAGCAAAGCTAGTGGTAGTCACAACGGGCAAGTGAGGAGGAGGAGAGAGAGTGAGAGGAGAGGAGATAGGAGGCGACGGATGAAGCTGCAGACACACGGGCAACAGGAGGCACACTGGCACAGCGGCTACCGGAACAACGCTCCGGAATACTGGAGTAACTGGCCCCGCGGCTAAAGTAGCGGCAGACGAGCAACGGACCCACGGGCGGCTGGCACAGCTGGCTACGACTGGGCTACCGGACGAAGTCCCCGGAATACAGGTGCTGCTGGCGACACGACGGCAACCTCCATTCAGCTTCCCAAACTATCCCACACTCTCGGCACACGCCCACTGCTCAAACCCTAGCTCCACTCCCACGCACCCCCCTTAAACCCTAAACCCCAGTCTCCCACTCATCCACCCCCCTCAGCGACAGCTGCAGCAGTGGGAGACGAAGGAGGAGGAGGAGCAAAGGGAGGAATGCACAACTGCCACCCCCATACTCGCCACCCCCTACTCGCCACCCCCCAGGTCCCCCGAAGGAGCCGCGACGGGCGACGGGAAAAGGGGGGGGGGGGGGGGGGTGCACATGCCGTAGGTAGGGCGACGGGGCCGGGGTCGCAGGTAGGGCGACGGGGCCGGGGCCGGGGCGCTGGTAGGGCGACGGGGCTAGGGCCGGGGCCGCAGGTATGGCGACGGGACCGGGGTCGCAGGTGGCGCGACGGGGCCGGGGTCGCAGGCAGGGCGACGGGGCCGGGGCCGTAGGTAGGGCGACGGGGTGCGACGCGCGGGTCCCCGTCGCCCGTCGCAGCGCCTCCCGGGGGGGGCGCGCCGAGTGACGGGGCAGAAACCCGTCGCGCGCCTCGGGGCACAAGGCGGGCAGAAAACCGCCGCGCGCCTCGGGGCGCACAGCGGGTAGAGAACCGCCGCGCGCCTCGGGGCGCACGGCGGGAAGAAAAACTGCCGCACACCACGGGGCGTGCGGCACAGAGAGTAGCAGTAGTAGTTGCAGCGGAAGCAACGAGGTGGTGAGCCCACTCACAGGATCGATCCAAGGGGATCGACCTGCTCTGATACCATGTGAAAATTTAGAAGAGAGAAGAGGGTTGCACTAGCAAGAATGAGGATACAAATAGCAAACCCTAGAAGGGTTGTACTCGCTATAGAGCACCCCACTACAGGCTAGAGCATAATATTCTGACAGGGGGACCGCCCTGCCCCGGACAGGAGAAGCGTGTAGCGGCCGAAATGGGTATGAGGGTGAGGCGAGTGGGGAGTGCGTGACGGGGCCTGGTGGAGGCGATTCGGATTCCTCTCCTCTTGGCGCGCCGGGAGCCCTCGCATCAACTTTGCTTGGGCCGGAGTACGGCGTGAAGAACCTTGGGGCTCGTGTGGATAGCGGCGTCACACTCGCTCTTCCGGCCCCCTTCATTAGCTGCATCCGTTGCACGCTTACCGGTGGCCCAATGCCTATAACGCAAGGGGCTGAGATTTAGAGGGAGTAGGATCAAGAAATTAAAGTCGATCGGTATCAATACAGGGCCAGACAGTCATGCATGAAATCAATGGTTTGAATCTTAATCGGGCTTAGCCGTGTACTGTTTTGAGACAGGAGACTTTACCTTTCTTTGCAGATTCGTCGTCCTTCTCCTTCCCTGCAGGGGAAAAACAACGTGTAGAATGGTGTTATTTGGCACGGTTGCGCAAAGAGTGCAACAACCACGCCCGGTCTATTGGCCAGGGTGCTCACCTTTCTGCTGTCCCTTCGGTTTTTTTGGGGCCAGCGCCTTCTCGTTGCCACCTTTCCGCGGGGTGCTTTGACGGCCGCTGCGACGTTTACCGGCAGGTTCTTTCTTGCCAGTACCCAATGGAACCCCTTACATCCTCCATCCCCTTTTGCTCCCTGGCGCCCTTGCTTTTTACCACCCCCTTCACTTTCGACCTTAACCTTACGCGCCTTCGGTCTGCCAGCTGCTGCGCCGCGCGCGGCGTCAACTGCCCCGCGTTTTCGGGAAGGGCGAGTCCGGCCCCCCACCTTCCCTGTACCACTCTGCCGTCTGCCACGCCCGCCCCGTCCCTTCACTGCTGCCACGTCCTCCTCCTCCTCCCCCTCTTCCTCCTCCTCCTCCTCCTCCTCCTCCTCCTCCTCCTCCTCCTCCTCCTCCTCCTCCTCCTCCTCTGCCTCCTCCTCCTCCTCCTGTTCATCCTCCTCGTCGTCCCTTTGCTCTTCCTCCTCCTCCTCCTCCTCCTCCTCCTCCTCCTCCTCCTCCTCCTCCTCCTCCTCCTCCTCCTCCTCCTCCTCCTCCTCCTCATCCTCCTCCTCCTCCTCCTCCTCCTCCTCCTCCTCCTCCTCCTCATCCTCCTCCTCATCGTCCTCCTCCTCCTCCTCCTCCTCCTCCTCCTCCTCCTCCTCCTCCTCCTCCTCCTCCTCCTCCTCCTCCTCCTCCTCCTCTTCGTCCTCCCCGCCATCATTCTCATCTTTTTCATCCTCCCCAACATCCGCGTCATCCTCCTTCGCTTCCTCTTCATCCTCATCTTTGTGCGCATCCTCCTCCTCGGCCTCACCAGGGTCTTCACCACCCCGTTTCTTGCCCCTCCTTCCGCCGGATGTTTTTCTTGCTGCGGGTCGGCCCTTTTGGCGCAATGCATGACCTGTCGCTTTGCCACTAGCTTCGTTGGCGCCTCGCATTCTCCCAACTTCCGCGCCACCGGCGTCGTCGGCACTGCCTGTCGTCTGCCGCCTCTTCGCACGCGTGGTGATGTCCCCGGGCACGGCGGTGTCAGAATCGTCCTCCTCATCGCTCTTCCTCTGTCTACGTCTCCCCCGTCCACCAGAAGGAGAGCCACCGACGTCGGCTATGCCGTGGTTAGGATCCTCCATCGACTCGTGCTCCCCCACCTTGTCCTTATCCAGCACGGCAGCAGAAATTTCGACCACGGTCGGCTGGAGCAGCGTCAAATGGTGTTGAGATGCCTCCGCCTCGGACTCCTTGGTTGCGGTATGCTCGGCGCGTGGATCGCCTCCGTGGTTTCCCCCTGTCGCCGATCCCTCTCTCTCCGTCGACGGGACTGCAAGACTCGCGCTCCCTCGCCCCGGATGTTCGTTGCCGCCTCTGGTGCCGTCGTTAGTCGGACCGGGCGTGGTTCCAGTTGAGGCAACATCCGCATCTTTGTTCACTGTAGAAACACGCTTGCGTGGCATTGGTTGCTTCCCGTAGTCTGCCGCCTTCCTGCCGGACTTCTCTTGATCCCGCGCGACCTTCTTTTTTCAGCCCAGTGCCACGCGCAACGGACGCATTAGTTTTCTTAGCGCCGCCGCCACCCTCCCTATCGGTCCGTTTAGACATCGTCCTTGTCGCTCGGCGTCCGGCCTGTTCCTCCTCCATTGCTTGTTGACGTGTGGCACGTGTCATGGTTGCCGTAGGAATGTCAAGGTCTATCGCGCGAAACGGGTTAGCCTGTTTTGAAGGGCCGCAGCAACTGAATATCACGAAGTGTTTAACGACGGCCTATCACTGTTATGTTTCTCCGAAAATCGCTGCTATCACTAAACCTGAAATAGTAGCCACTCATCACGGAGCTACGGCCCGTGACTTAGTATATTGGTGAGTCACGGGCGATCTGGAAACGCGCTTGTCAAACAGCGAGCAGCGTCTAAGTGTTGGCATAGAGGGTGACGGGAGCAGGTGGGTGGGGCACGAGGGTGGTTGGCGTGGGTTGCGAGACTATAGAGATTATTGTAACCCTATCAGGCTATATCGGACGGTGTACGTGTAGCCACCCGTGCATAAACCCGCCTACCGCTCGATCTCATTCGCTCAATGGCGGAAGTACCTCTTGGCTGGTGCTTGTGTTGTGTGGGGACTCGTTTGAGATGCATTGGCCAACCACGGTTGCCAACGCATCAATCTCTACGCATAGTATGACAGTTTTAGAGCCTCAAGTGCGAATGTAACCTTATCCCTGCAAAGTACAGTGATCTCGTGAACGCACAGTGTTGAACATGTACGCGGAATAAATTTCAAAAAATACAACAATAAAAAACATCCAAAAATCTGATGCTCTTGGTTTAGTATGGGGTTGACGCCGGTAGTGGGTTTGTCTCATGTCACACACACAAAGTGTAACAAACGAATGTGTTGACGAATAGTAACAGACGAGGAAAAGAAGTTGTATGGTGTTGGATTGTCATCCATTCTTGCACGGACATTCAACAAGGTGCTTAGAGAGAGTGGTTTGAAGCACAGGCCCACCGCACAAGCGTAGATGCGTTCTCGACAGCAGTGTTTAGACAGTGCGATGATGCCACGTTCCGGCCTGTGTGTTGCGCGACATGGTGAATCCGTTGTGGTTTGGCGTTGGATTGTCATCCATTCTTGCACGGACATTCAACAAGGTACTTAGAGAGAGTGGTATGAAGCACACGCCCAACGCACAAGCGTAGATGCGTTCCCGACAGCAGTGTTTAGACAGTGCGACGATGCCCCGTTCCGGCCTGTGTGTTGCGCGACATGGTGAATCCGTTGTGGTTTGGCGTTGGATTGTCATCCATTCTTGCACGGACATTCAACAAGGTGGTTAGAGAGAGTGGTATGAAGCACAGGCCCAACGCACAAGCGTAGATGCGTTCCCGACAGCAGTGTTTAGACAGTGCGACGATGCCCCGTTCCGGCCTGTGTGTTGCGCGACATGGTGAATCCGTTGTGGTTTGGCGTTGGATTGTCATCCATTCTTGCACGGACATTCAACAAGGTGCTTAGAGAGAGTGGTATGAAGGAAAGGCCCAACGCACAAGCGTAGATGCGTTCCCGACAGCAGTGTTTAGACAGTGCGACGATGCCACGTTCCGGCCTGTGTGTTGCGCGACATGGTGAATCCGTTGTGGTTTGGCGTTGGATTGTCATCCATTCTTGCACGGACATTCAACAAGGTGCTTAGAGAGAGTGGTATGAAGCAAAGGCCCAACGCACAAGCGTAGATGCGTTCCCGACAACAGTGTTTAGACAGTGCGACGATGCCACGTTCCGGCCTGTGTGTTGCGCGACATGGTGAATCCGTTGTGGTTTGGCGTTGGATTGTCATCCATTCTTGCACAGACATTCAACAAGGCGCCCAAAAGGAGTGGTATGAAGCACAGGCCCAATGCACAAGCGTAGATGCGTTCTCGACATCGCTGTTCCGACGCGGCGACGTTGCAGCGTTCAGGCCCGTGGCTTACGCGACATGGTGAAACGGTTGTGGAATGGTGTTGCTTTCCAAATGGTAGCAGACCACACTAACGGTGTTGTTTCTAAGCACTGCCGTTGTCAATATGCCGGAAGGTATTGAGCATGCCGTAAAGTATGGTCGTATAATCGTTATGAGTGACATTAAGTTATTTGTTATATGTAACTGTACAATGGTATTACCTGGTTTGGATTAAGGCTATGGGAGTGCGCACCACTTTGGGCACACCTACGTGATCGCGATCTCCCCCCTATAGAGACTCTCGAAAGAATCACAACACCAAACAGATCTCTTCCCTCTCTTCCTCACCCACCTCGACTCTCACACACGATTCAAAAACCGAAGTTTTGAATATGGAGGCACGTACTCCTCACCGTGCTCGTCACGCACGCCCGCGACCAAGCTAGCCGTACACCACTGCATAAGGCCCTGCTCACGTCGTAATCACTCTAACAGGGGGCGACACGCCTTGTAGGGAAGGCCTATGCCGTGCTGTCGGCGGTCTGTATCTAGGCTTGTCACGGCCGCGCTGCGCGACCATTGTTAGCCAGTCTCTCACTAATGCGCCACGATCAAGTGCCAGGCGTGCAGAGATCCAAGCCGCCGTGGACACTTCGCGCTGTAGCGATGACCGTGCTGGAGTCTGAGCCTTCATTGATCGTGAAGTAAAAGCGTTTACAAGCTTCAAACTGGCTAGTCTCCTCACACTACATTCCACCACTCTTAGACGGATCTAGAATACATGGGCTCTTTGCCAGGCGTAGTATGCGAGTTCTGCAACAGATGGTTCCCCAACGCCCAGGTTTACGGCGGCCATAAGTCACGGCGGACCCCTTGTCAAGGGCTTTCCGCTGTGGCAAGGCCCTCCTCGTCTGCACCGTCCGCCGGTCTACACGCTCTGCTGTTCGTCCATGACATTCTGTGAGACGCTCCCACTGCATCCGCTTCCCCTACTGCGTCTAACACGTCCAACACCGACGGTGTGAATGGTCCTCCTCGCGTGCCCGAAGCTGACGGGGACGCAACACCCTCATCTGTGAACGTGGGGGCTCCTGAAAGTGAGCATCAACCGCCTCCCAGAACACATGCCTCTTACACGAGTGAGCATCCGGAGAGCCGCCCTGAAGAGACTCACGCCGCACCGCCGACATGCATCTCTGGGCAGAGCAATGCCATGCCCCTCAATCCGCTTGCGTTGAAGCTGCTGCATTTCGTGCGGCGCGTTAACGGCGGAATGGGAATGGCGGAGATCGACATCAATGGCCTGCTTCAGCTCGTGGTGGAGCCCGGCCTTGCGCCTCTTGTGATCTCAGAGATCCGAAACAGCAAGGATCTGGAGCGGTTCGAGATGGAGCGCTTGGTTGGGCTCAATCGCGGATGGTCAGTGGCGACCTTCGAGATTGACGGTCATCCGCCACAGCGCCTTCTCTTCCAGAACTCTGCGCAGGTAAGTTGAATCTGGATCTGTGGCTGTGAAATGCAGATTCCACATCCATTTGGTGCTTGTTGAACGTTGCCTGTGTTAGGCTTGTGTGAGATCTGACCCACCTTCAACGCCACTAACCAGGGTTTGGTTCTCTCCTGCTCTTGCCACTGCACGCCAGGCGTTTGCCAAACTGTTTGGGCACACCAACAACGCGCCCGGCTTCAAGCTCAAGGCTCGTGTCGATGAGGACCCGGACACAGGCGAGCGTCGCTATACCACGCCGGAAACTGGAACGTGGTGGAACGATGCTCAGGTATGGAAATACACCGTTGCCTCCCAAAACCAGAAGAGTGCGCATGCCTCCGTTGATGCGCTGTTGTGTAGGGAGCATCTTCAGTGTGTCATGTTTCTGGGGAGTTCTTTGAAGCATGCTTAGTCCACCTGGCAACAAGTTAGCTTGTTGGTGTTTGACCGTGTGCTTTTTCCCTCTTTGTCGTGCCTTGTAGGAACACTTTGGTATCTGCGTGCCTTCAGAACCATCGCCATCCGAATGTCACATGACAGACCTCATAATCTCACCTCCCTTACATGTTCATCCCATCCCACCCCCTGTGCTACACTAGGAGCATCTGGTTGCTGTAAAGGCACGGAACAAGCCGCGCACGCCTGAACAGCAGCAATGGATCGTGAATGAGGCGGCAGGGTTGACATCAAGCCAGGACGACCCATGCAAGACCTACTCGACCTACCCGGTTGAGGTGAGCGACCTGTTCCCCGGGCGACTGTGTAGTCTACGCACTCCTTGCTGCTCAAACCTTGGGGAGATGTGCTATACCCCATTGCACTGTCCCACATGTGTGCCGAGTCTCTCAAATACCTTTCTCTACCATTCCCCACCACATCCCCTTTTCCAGTGTGTGCTTTGGAAGTGGGATGTCCCAGGGACCGTGTGGGGCAATCCCTACCTCGTTATCATGCCTGACATCATGCACCAGGCGGACCTGGGCATGATGAGCCACATTGTGGCTGTCCTGCGCAAGATGAAGAAGCGGCGCGTGAAGCAGATGGACAGGTTAGTGCCCTGGGGGATTAGATTTGTTGCTCGTTGTCAACAATACTCCAATCCGCACTCTCCTCCTCCTACTTACATGTTTCTGTATTTGTTCCTGCCCTTGAACAGTTGTGTATGCGCAGGCGCCTGTCGCTCATTCGCGACCGCACGCGCCTGAACCACCTGCGCCTGCCAGAGAGCACCTACTTCGAGATTGGAGCATGTGTCGCGGCCTATGAGCACAGGGCCGTCATGCAGGTGTGCAAGCCATGGTGCATGTGATCATCTTGTGCGATAGCATGCACCATGCAGAAGTGGCATGCCGATTCCAGACTACAACACACCCCCTGCTGCATCTCAGTACCCTCTCTCATGCTTTCATTAATTCCGCCTCGAAACCCGTTTGCTCATCTTCTCACGCATGTCCCAACTACTCATGCCCCCCTGCTGTGATAAACCCTGAAATTTGCAGGTCATGGTGTTTGTCTTTGCTGGCCTG